CCCAATTATTTTTTTTTCAAGAGAAAACAATTTGAGAGATTTCAGCCTCTTGTTGTATAGCAACCCCCTCCATCTCAGGCACCATTCTGGTAACACTCCTCTGAGCCTTTTCTAACAATTCAGTGTTTTTCCTAAGGTAAGGAACCCAAGACTGAACACGATATTCCAAATGTGGCCTAACCAGTGACCTGAACGATGAAAGTATAACTTCTTTAGACTTGTATTCAGTATTTCTATAGATACAACCTAAAATCCTATTTATCCTACCACTAGCAACAGCACATTGCTTGGATGGCTTTAGAGATTGATCGACTATTACACCAAGATCCCTTTCCTTCATAACACAATTAAGGTTATTCCCATCCAAATTATGATAACCCACATGCATTATCTTGCATTTATTATAAATATAACCCATTTGCCCAACTCACTAAATGATCTAAATCCTTTTGTAAATCAGCAGCATCTTGTATGAAGTTAAAACATCAGATAGTCTATTAGGTTTTGGTATTGATTTTATTCAAATGGAAAACTTCATCACTTTGTAGCGAAGCACACAGTGGAGTTAATAACACCCTTCGTTGGATAGAAGGCAGCAGAAGTTTTGATTTTACTTCAGTTATATCTTTCTTTAACATCTTTCTGGATATGATTTCTTTGTTTCCCTATATCAAGCAGTAATTGGTCTGTATCATTGAGTAAGATAGTGAATATTTTCTTTATTACTGAAAGGCTGAAGGTAACTATACAACTTGTTTTATCGATATAACTAAAGGATTCACTTTCATGTGGTTTTCGAATTTGGAAAATTTCACGTTAAAGAGGAACCTATTCTGAAAGCATCTCTGATATCATGTACATTTTTATATTCTTTGATGACGTATTCGCTTTTTTTGTCAACATCACTTCCATCAGCACCAACTTCAATTAAAGCTAAAACATTATTACCATTAAAATCCATACTGTTATCATTAAAACCCATATTGTCATTATTATAATTAAAACTTTATTATTGTCATTATAAGTTTGTCATGTTCATTTTCTTCGACTGTTTATTAGTAATTGTCAATACACTTTTTGGCCGCTTTCTCCCATGACTTCTACTCAGTTTATCAGAAATTGATAATCCATCACATCCACGACGAGAGCATGCTAAGAATTTTGAACATCTAGGCCTTCTACATTTACAAGATCCCATTTTGAACTAGAATTGTAATCTGTTTGACATTCGTTGAAGCAGTCATCAGTAATTTTGATACATTGATTTGGGACAGCCAGTGGCTCACTGAAGCTAAAAATAAGCCAATGATATTCAGAAACAGAAACCAAGAAAAAAGATATTGCCTTATTGGGTCATTTTTTTCTGTCCAACAAAAGTTTATCGAATTTGCAGATACAGATGGTATTAAAAATAAGAATCAGATTTACAGTCTTCTAAATGTCAGAAATTGGAATCGTATTCAAAAGCTTCTTCAAAGTAATAGTGTAAGTCTAGTTAGGATTGGTAAGTTTAACATGTAGGTAAGTATCTTTAAAATACATTCTCTTACAACATAAGCACACATGAATTTAAAGAAAAATCTCATCTTGAAAAGATCAGGTTAGAAATATTCTTTGTTATCAGTGGAACTTCTTGCTATGTCAAATCGAAACTTCTACCAGGTTCAATTTCTCCATTTAAAATCTTCTAAAGATCCATTATTATTATTGAATCTTTCTCTTCCTCTTCATTCTTTCATTCTTCTTCTTCTACTTCTTCTTCTTCCTCTTTTTATTTGGATAAACGGCAGCATTTTTTATTCTCGTTGTAAGAGCACGTGTTATTGTAAACTTGACAATTTTTTCAATCTTCCTTTCATTCATTTGGTTCTGAACCTCTTATTGAAAAGACACATTTTCCTTTTCGATTAGATTGATTAAACTTCCTACCAAGAACAAGGTCTAAAATAGCATCTTCTTGTTGAACAAAAAACAGTTTTAAACAGTATTAATAACTTCTTCACCATCATGTGAAAAAGACAGAGTACTTCAGTCAGTATACCTATATTTAGTGTATTCCATAATAATAAGTTTCTATTTTGACATTTTAACTAATTTGTATAAACAAGAGGTCTATAAAAAATGCCAAAAATTAGGAACTTCAATCCAGATATATCATAATTTACTAAGTCTAGCAATATCATAAGCTTTCAGCTTACCCCTTTTTATTTTCCCAAGCTGTACAAAAAATGTATAAAATCTAAAATAATATCATAGAAAAACAATACTGAGTAAAGCCAGTAACATCTAGAATGCTAACCAGAACTGAAGTTTTTCAGTTTCAGAGTAAATTAAAATACTTCTAATATTTATATAAAATAACCTAGCATATTTTCATCTTCACTTTTAGTCTATAATATCAAGTCTGTCTTTGTGTCTCATAGTGAAAAATTATTCTTTTTTCATTATTTAATCTAAATTTAAGGAGTCCCTAATAAAATCGTGTTGGCACTTCCTTAAGTACTGGTACATTATTCATAATAGTACCTTGTTAAAGTGGGTTATTTGCTTCAAAATAACAGTAATTATGCCTGTGCTTAGTGCTATTCAACAACAATACTTAACTATACTCTTGACTTGAACTTAATTTAATAGAAGCCTAAATCACTTATTACTGTCTTCTCAAAAATGTTTGTTTAATCAAAATACTTGACTTCTTTTAGGCTTCGTACTCCTCTACATCATCCTTCAATCACCAAACTTTTATATTATTTTAATTTCTTTTTAACATTTTAACAAAATTTATTGTAAGTTTAGTTCTGTTCTTTATTCCAAAAAATCATATCTAGTGAGTCAAAAAATATTAGAACCTAAGTAAACCTATACATAATTATTATTGGAAATAATATAAATGTGTATATTGTGTAAAACTTAAGTATCAGTTTACTGAATAAAAATGATATAATAAGAACCTTATACTTAAAAAAAATGATTTATCTGATTTTTTTTATTATTATTCTTTAGCCAATCCCATCAGAAGTTCTCATCCAGGCCTTGGCTGAATATGTACGCTCACTTAACAATGTTGAAAACTTGGATACCATAGGTACCCAGATTTTTGGGCAAGCTGGACAGGAAGAAATCCAAAAATTTAAACACAGCACTCAGTATTATCTAAATGGAACTAAGGATGGCTTTCTACAATATCAACCAACTTTGCAAGGTAAGTATTGAAATTTAACTTACAGTTTTTGTTTCTGAACAGTATTGTTTATAATTGGTGTTCTACTGTTACTAAATATTGGAGAATTGATCAAACCTGAAAACAAAAATCAAGTCTCCAGACTTTCAGTTACCATATCAGCCAAGGAAGGGGCTAAGAGAAATTGAACAAATTTCTGACCATTCCTGGGTTATCAAATCTGAATACTTATCACGATTGGATTGGATACTAAATACTTTATGCATTTTTCAATAACTTGAAATTAATTTTCCTCGTATTGTACTACCATTGGACTATTTCAAAAAATCATAAAGTTATTTGATTGAGAACAACAAGAGTTACTACCTAATATAAACTTCATTTAACTAAAAAAAGATTAGTTCACCAGTTTTATGTCGTTCCGTTTCGTTTTTAAGTTGAAGTCAAAACCTTGTGTAATATTTATTGTAATGTAGCTTGCAAGGCATAGAAGGATATTGGGTTTTGGTATAACATTGATATCTGCCAATTTGTTCGTCCTTCCAAAATGTAGAAGAACTCAACAGAATATTGGTGCATGTGCTGTTTAGCAAACTACGGCAGAAGTTTAAAGTGAGAAGTGCAGATCCTGATACCTAATGTCATCTACATAGGTTTTGAAGTTCAACTAATTTTATGCACACTCACGCATATATACATATTCTAAAAAATACTTTTAACAAAAATATTTATATATTTTATCGATATATACTATTTCACAAAAAAAATAACATTTTTGTAAAGCACAATCATGTAAAAAATTAAAATATTTTGAGCTCAAGATTAAAGACTCAGTTTTTTAACACAAATTCCAAATAATATCATATTCCACATAATTATCCATGTATGAGTGTAAGTCAACAATTCCTTTCAAGTTTTCTTCCCTAGCTTTTTTATGTAAGAATTGAATATAAGCACCAAAGGGTTTTGGAACAATATACTTTAGCTATTTATTCCCTCAGTAAGAATCATTAATTGTTTTATTTAACTTAAGTGTTTTGTAACAATATACTCTAGCTATATATTCTCTAAGTAAGAATCATTAATTGTTTTATTTAACTTAAGGGTTTTGTAACAATATACTCTAGCTATGTATTCTCTAAGTAAGAATCATTAATTGTTTTATTTAACCTAAGGGTTTTGTAACAATATACTCTAGCTATTTATTCCCTCAGTAAGAATCATTAATTGTTTTATTTAACTTAAGGGTTTTGTAACAATATACTTTAGCTATTTATTCCCTCAAGTAAGAATCATTAATTGTTTTATTTAACTTAAGGGTTTTGTAACAATATATCTAGCTATTTATTCTCAGTAAGAATCATTAATTGTTTTATTTAACCATACCACTTACAGTTTGAAGTCTAGATTTTTGTTCATCAGATAATTCAGCTTCTTTTAGCCTTTTCTTTCTTCTTTTGTGATAGCTTCTGCGCATCCTCAAAAGAATATTCACATAGTCTGGCCAATAACAATTAGTAATATTTCCACCAAACTCATGTTTATTCATTGTATTAAAAAGCATTTTATGTTATAAAGATTGTTAATGAAATATATGTAATTCAAGGTATTCAAATTGATTTATTACTTTATATACCTTGACTTAAATACACTTACAGACCACAGGACTATCAGAGGAAAGGAACCCACTCCTCCCACAAGTGAGTAGCTTGACCTAACTATTTGTAAAGTGCATTTTTATTATTTGAGAAAATGATCAGCCTTACTTTTAAAGAAGAGTTGTAAGCACAAGTGCTTTATGTAGTTTGTATAAACCACTTCCATTGGTGGAGGTCATGTAACTTTACATGTATTACTATAGAGGAGACAATCCTAAAATCTTCATATGTATATAGCATAGATAAAGAATACTAATACAGAGACAGAGAGTGTCTGTTTTCTGACTAACTTATCATGCATTGGCAAAACTTATAATGGAGAAGTTAATAATCAGTTTAATAAACAGCATGTGCTAGATAAGTATTTGTGTGTAAAACAGTGGGTACAAGTGTTTGTGTGTCTGACTCCTTCCAAGATCCTACTTAAACTCCTGAAAACTAATGATCCTGCAGTAGGTATTTCTTAACATAATGTATACTTGTATTAACTTTATTCACACATTATTATATTAACTCTGTACAAATATTAGATTAACCTTGTTAAAATATTCTGTATTCATTAAACATTAATTAAACATTATTTCTGTTTAATTGTTGTTTATTACTTCCATTTAAATATTATTAGATAAAATTACTCAAAAATTCTTAGTTATCTTTATTTGAACATCCTTAAATCAACTCTGTTTGGGCATTGTTGTTTTAGTGGCAGTCAAATAATGTTAGATTAACTAGATTCAAACATTGTTAGACTAAAATCAGTCTAAAGATAATTTATTCTTAACGTCCTGTAACTAAAGGATGTGCTTTTTTGTATTCCAAAACATGCATATCTCTGCTGACACTAATAGACATTTCTTGATCTTCATCTTTGCCATGTAATGTTGTGTTCGCTTGCTCCAGTCTTTTTATACCCCACTTAACTTCCCTCGACAATATCTAATTTGCAAAATGTTACGCTGGCCCTCACACGCCCTCTATGCAGGTACTGTGTATAAGCACTGTATGCAGACAATAAAATCACTTTTTCTTAACAAAGCGCAAGCATTCAGACTAACTTTTTTTTAATTTTAGCTTTCTAATAATCAGGAATTATTTGTTTTGTTATCTAGAGATATATTTCGTTGAATTTATTTTTTCTTACAAATATATTACGGAAAAAAATTGGATATGAATTTTCAAGCACGGAGGATACTCAGCCTTTGTCTATTCCCCCTTTGTTACCTAGTAGTGGTCAGCAGTCGGGGTGGGGACACTCTCCGTGAAAGCCGTCCGTGACCTGATTTGGGGTGAGATAGAGTCCTTCATGCGGCTTAGGGGGTATCTCTTCGGGAGGTGCTGATTTGAATTTTCATTTTGAAACGGGATATTCTGGGGAGAATTTAGACTCCCTGTTTCCTGTTCCTTCTTTCACTAGAGCTTCCTCTCTAGAGGACTCATCTGATCAACCACCTTCTGCCCCTTTTTTTCTGCAGTTAGTTACACGTGTTTGTGAAGTTTAGGAGATGTAACCAATTGCTTTTGAGTCTACCCTGCTTTGTCCGATCGTTCTTAAGGGGATACTTAGTTTTCCTCCTCCTCCTGATATTTCTGTGCATGCAGGGAGGTTTGCAACACAATTATGTGAGGGTGTCACTATGTTCCCCTTCCTAATTTATCTGAACAACATACCCTGGCATAACATTGTCAGGATGATATATATTTGGACACACAAAAGTTGGATCCATTGTTGGATCTCTGGAATGCCAGGTACAAACCTGTTATCTCTTTTAACAGGTCACAATTTTAGCGGATTCGTTTGACTCTTCCTACTGTTTTAAGATACTTCCCTTCAACTTTTGTCTGAAGCATATCACTGATCGCCTCAACAATTTGACGATGAACTGGGCCATTTACTGGTCACTGTTATGACACTTTTGTTCTCTTCGGGGCTTGCATAAGTATCGTGGTTGGTCTGTTGCTGGAACTTGTTGAGTCGTGATGCATTTTAGAGGGTATTCACTTATCTTCTTCTGCCCTTCGAGATTTACAGGAAGCGCCTTTTCTTCAGCCTTATTTATTTGTTGGAATTCCAGAATCTTTAGAAGCCAGAGTTGATATAGCACATTTGCAGTCTTCTTTATCATCTTTGGCTGCTCGACCCTATTCTACTTGCACCTGTACTTCTGCATGTTCATACCCTCGTGTTTCAAGGCCCCCTCCTTCCACTCCCCATTCCAATGGTTCTCTTAATTGTTTCTGTCCTTCTCAGGAGATACTTTGCGGGCTGATAGGTGGACTTCTCCCAACATGTTCATACCTCATTACCTTCACGATCTGGCAGTTTCCTCTTCGAAGGGACCTCGTCTTCCCGCTGTGGCTGTGTTGACTACCTCTACTGGATTTTAACGGGGTGGTCAGTGACGTGTTATCTGACTTACAGTTATTGTTCCTTTCTCTTCTAGGGATCCTATTGATTTTTTTTTGGATCCCACTCAGTGGTGAGTGTTGCCCAGACAGGTATGCTTGTATTTAAATCCCGCACTAACAACCTTTATATCAGTTCCTGGTTGCAATGGGCTCTGTCGAGATGAGGTGTTTCATAAGACCATCTGGATACAATTCTGGATGGTGATATCATATTACAATATTTCTAATGGACCACTACTCATCGACTATCATGAGTAAAGCTAAAGGAGATTTTGCCAGTCCCTGCTGATCTTAGAACTGAATCAGTCAAGTTCACCTGTTGCACTGTCTCCGGAGACCTGTTCCTTACCACACAGTTTCCAGTCACTGGGGTGGTAGACAGAGGATTTACTTTTGGAGTGTTGAGTTTTCTCCACACTTGGAGAAGAGGACAAAGTTGCGGAACCTCCTACCTGGGTTCCTGGAAGTTTTTTCCCAAATGTTGGTAGGAGCAAGACCAACCTACATGGGAGCCTACTCATAAAACCAGTCCAGATTTGACACCTAGCTATCCGTTAGGGGGTGTTTGAACCCTCTTATGTTGTTCATGCAGGGGGTCCACTTTCTTCTCATATAACCAAACACAATGCGGTCCCATCTTTGGTCCTTGATGGGACCGTGTTCCACATCCTCTCTTTAATTCCATGAGTAAGCGGAATTCTCTTTGCTCACTTGGTGGGGGAGTAAAGACAACTGTTTGTAAATCCAGACGGGATGAGTTCTGGACTTTGGTGGAGTATGGCATATGATCCTGTCAATCCAGACCTGAGATGTTGCCTTTTGGTCTTCTTCAGGTTGATCAGAAGGATTGTCCATTTTGGTGTTGCTTTCTTTCTTTCATAAGTCTGGTGGTTTGAAACGCATCATTCTGTAGTTACTGGTACCTATCACAAAGATGTATATATTTGTGGTCCAATTGCCCTGCCCACCACCATGGGATATGGGTACCATGACCCCTTAAATCCAACCCGAGTTGTGGAACCTTGACTGTTTGGTTGGGGCTGGACCATCATACTTGTATTCCACCCTTTTCAATTTTCTGTAGTTCTGGGTGAAAAGCATATCTTTTGGATGTAGTGCACTTTGATACCATTTCTTGTGGTACATACTTGTTCTCTACTTTCTGTATGACCTCTGTCCTCACCGGCCCCTCTGCCTTCCCAATGTTGGATTCTAGCTATTAGTGTCAGCGGAGGTATGTTCTGGAAGTTATCATTTTCCTAAACTGAAAATGTATTTCCAAACATACTCCGTTGACACTCTCCTCCCTTCCTCCCCACTAAGAGTCGGTATTAGTGACCGGAATGTGGTAAGTCTCGAATAAGTGATTTTATTGTCTGCATACAGTGCTTTACATACAGTACCTGCATAGAGGGCATGTCAAGGCCAGCATAAAGTTTTGCAACTTAGATATTGCCGAGGGCAGTCGAGTGGGGTGTATAAAGACTGGAGCAACGTTAGATGGCAAAGATGAAGATCGAGAAATAGCTAGTAGTGTCAGCAGAGGTAAGTATGTTTGGAAATGCATTTTCAGTTTAGGAAAATGATAATTTTTATCCATAGTTTTGCTTTGTGGCACGTAAATGAAGTACGAACTGTCAGCTAACTTGGAAAATTTAATGAGTGTATACCTTTTTTTAACAAACAAAAAATATTGTTTTTCTTGCACGCATGACACAAATCTCGTATATGGCTACAGTCTGTTTGAAGCGTTTAACAACTTTTTTAAATTTCTACTTGTACTTGACCCTATGTTGTGTGGTCATAAATGCTGTGCATAATCAAATATTGTTAGAAAAATGCTTATTATAACAATACAAGTACAGCTTATTGGTCAATACAGTATATATAACCAATAGTATTGGAAGCATAAGCCTCTGTGTATTTCTGAAGCCATATTTTTACACATTTCAATCAGTTTTAAGCATTTGGGAGGTACTTCGTTGAATAATGAGAATGGTTTACGATGTTATAGCAGGTTAACTTATCTACAGCTCTTCTGAAACATATGCATCGGGAGATGCGTCGCTAACTTAGTATTTAGCTGAAACTTATTTTTGCTTTCTGTATTGTGGAATTCTTTATTTGTAGGTGGTAAGGCAGAACCAGGTTGTTATCCTGCTAAAGGAGGAATTCCTGAGTTTAGGGATGAGACATCACAAAAGTTTCCAAATTATGATCCATCAGGTTAGTTTTTAAGATTGTATTCACGTAAGATGAAGTTTCTTGTTATTTATGGTTGAAATTCACAAAACGATTAACCGTTAAAATAATCTCAAAGTTTTGACATGTTTTCTTATTGCTATTCATATGTTTTGAAATTAAGAAGTGTGATCACTTGTGTTTACCCTTACAAATAACAGCTGGACTTCCTGACATGAGTCAAAAATTATTTGTTTTATAACTGTTCGTGTAAAACTACTAGTATTGATTTTTATTTCTTTATACAGGGTGGGTTAAAATTGATTATATAGTTGTTTCATTTAGAATGAGAACATAGTTTAATATCTAATGTCTTAGTATGAAATAAACAACAGATAGATTGGTTTCAATTATCTTCATATTTTCGTTAGTATAACTCTGTTTAATTCCAACTGTACAAACTGTTTTTTTTTAATTTTAATAATAATATATAAATTTTACTTTTTGCAGAATGAATGCAGAAAATCTATTAAAGCCTAAACTTAGCTTCCCAGTGAATGTATGAAATCTGTTAAAACCTAAACTATGAAAGTGATCTTGAAAGTAACTGAATTACAAACACAGGACTTATTTCTACTTTGGCTTCTGGAGGTTTATTCATTGTAGGGAACATTACAGCCATTGTACAATGTGGGGCCAGGTTGCGATAGTTCTCAATCATTTAGTTTATCTTCATGACTGATTCATTAGTTCCACGGGTTCTGTCAGAAGGTCTTTGCCTTCAGTACAAGTCCTCCTCCCTCTTATCCTCTTCCCCAGTTTCCTTCCCTCCTCCTCAGTATCGTGCCTCATCCATTCGTGTCTTGGAGTCAGTTCGGGCTATCGAACAGGTTGTGTCCACTCATCCGGGTTTTTATTCCTGTCTATTTGTTGTCCTCAAAAAGACGGGAGATTGGAGACACTCCAATTCACCATGGAGTCCTACCTCTCCCTTTGGCAGGTTTTTTCACCAGAACTCTGGATGGCCAAGTTCAATGTGACAGACACCTATTTTCATATTCCCATAGTTCCAGGGTCACGTTGTTTTCTTTAGTTCATCCACGTGGACTGTCTTTCACTTCTGTGCACTACCATTTGGTGTGGCTTCTTATGTGTTCTGTCAAGTGGTTCACACATTTGCTCATCATCTTCACTCACTGGATCTTCAGACTTATCATTACATAGACGACTGACTTCTGCTTGCCTCTTCCCAGGCCCAATCAGTCTCTCACACTCAATTGCTTCTTCAAGAAGCTGCCTTGGGTGGGGTTGCTTATCAAGCTGGAGAAGTTCCTTCTAACCGCTACACAGTATGTTATTCATTTAGGTGTTCTCTTCAATTCCCATCTAATTCGGGCCCAGTCTTCTCTACTTCAGCTCAGGGAGTTGGAGTGGACAGTACATTCGCCTTCTCTCACTGCACGAAAGGTTTTATCTCTTTTGGGGACCTGGGCTTCCTTGGAAGCTCTTATTCCTTTGGGTTAGGTGCATGTGTTCCCTTCAATGTATGCTTATTGACCAGTGGAACTTCTCCCACGATCCCTTGGATCATCATATTGCCCTCCCTCCTGTGATCAGGGCTGACCTTGCATGATGGTAACTCTCCACACGTCAGTTCACCTTTAACTGGGATAAGTTGACCTGTTATTATTTTGTATCTTTTGCTGTCAATATGTATAATATTTCAGGATCCCACCTAATAGCAGGTGTTGCCTGGTCAGGTATGCTGAATATTAGATCTTTGCACTAAATCTGTATATTTCTAAATGCTCACTGTAGAAATGGGGTATTTTGTAAGACAACTGGACACTTTTTGCATGGTATGTATATATAATATCAAACTTTTATTATCAATGTATTCTATATGATGGACCATCACTCAATGATTTCATTAGTAAAGCAGATGTGGATTTCTGACCTGGGATTTTTACAATCTGGGTCTTTCTGCTTTTCAAAATTGAGAATCGGACATTGCACAGTCTCCAGACTGTCATTCTTCTGGACTCCTCAATGCATATTCTCCTCCCATTTTTTCTTCTAGTAGAGCATGGGAGTCCTTATCACTCCAGTTCCCAGTCACTGTAGTGGTTGACCATGGAGGTTTCCTCCCAAGTGGGGTAGTACAAAGATATCAAACTCATAAGTACTCACTCAGCGAGGAGAGAGCTGTTGCCATTATAATTATTGAACAGGCAATAACATACTATTCTGGATCCAAGGCACTTCCTCTGGATATTTTTAACCCATGTGGACCTCACTTGGCCATAATATTATATATATCCAGGAAGTTTTTTGCCTGGACAAATTGCACTTTACTTTCCTGGCACCTTCTTTGACATCACATACTAACCTACTACATATGGCAATGAGCTGATTCTGAATTATCAGACAACATTTCATCTCACTACTTATTTGTTACACTTTTTTTTTTTTTTGCTCTGGTGCTCCCCAGGACTCTTCCTTTGGCACATAATTCCTTGTCAATTGCACACTAGACATTTTGTATGTACATTCCATGCTGATTCATGTCATAGTTATACTGCACTGCTCCAAAACAAAGTGCTGTACATCTTTTTTCTTGAGTATATGTTGCCTGCCTCCTACATTCTGCCCTTATATATATATATTACTGTTTCATTACTGGGCAAGGAGCATACCTGTTCTAGAAGTAATGTTATACCTGATAGGTGTGCCTTACTTTCTTCTTCTGACACACTTGTTCTTTTCAGGTGGTGGTTATCCATTTATTTCCATACTGTTGTGCCTTCAATGGGAGATTCTAGCTTCGGGTGAGTGGAGGTAGTACTGCTTCAGAAGTTAACATTTTCCTACACTGAAAATGTATTTCTAGAAGGTACTTTACCTCCTGTCACCCACTTCCCACTCTTCCTCCCCACTGATATTCCGGTGTTTTAGTTTGTAACTGCCTATTCTAGAAAGTGAGGTTTGTGCTATTATAGGTGGTACAGTATGATTGGTGGAGGGTAGTCACATGATATGCACACGTTCTGAAATGCCGCAAAAATAGACTGATGCGCTGTTGGCAAAAAAATGTTTAGCAATGCTTAGAGGGCAAATCAAGGTCGAGATATCTTTGGATGAAAAGAGGTAAGTACATATCAGGAATACATTTTCAGTATTGGAAAATGTTAATTTCGGAGAAAAGTTTCTTCACAGTAATGGTAAACAAAAGTCTAATAAATTGCTAAAGTATTCTTTGAAAAACATCATAAATCTATTTTAGTTCCAATAACATTTTGATTTAATGAACGGTTCATGTTGGAAAACTGGTTGTTTCTCAAAGAAGCTTTAAAAAAAAATTTTATTTTTCTGGCCAATAAACCAATAAAAACACAAATTTTTGTATTACAATCAATTTCCTTAGACTATTTTTTTCTTAAAAGTACATATTGATGCCTGTAAAAGGTGTTTGAATATTTGTTAAATGTCTGTCTAGTTTAATCCTTTTAAAAGCAAAGTTACTTGGTTGTGAACTCAGCAAAAAGTTGAAAATCAAGGTAAATGTGATGTTGATAACAAAATATCTTATTCTTGTATTACCTTATATTTGAAGTATGAAGTACCTATACTACCAAATACTATGGCAGTGAATAAGAATTTTGATTTCTAATGGAAATTAAATAATCATTGAACAAGTTATGTAGGTTTTAAAAGAAACATCAATTGATTGAGTTATTTTGTCTTTTTTTTGTTTGTTAATCTTTGGAAAAAATTCTGCCAAAATTACTAAAACATCTGATTGTTTTCTTCATGTTTCTTATCAGACTTGTGAAGGATCTAATAAAACAGATTAATTTCATACAAGCAGTTGTATTAGTCTCTGATTTTTCTGTTTTAATGATTCTCTAATAAGAGGAATAAAGCATCAAAACATTAAACACATGGCCAAATATGATAAAGAGTAGAATTTGTTAGTCATAGAACTACAATGATAAAGACATCCATGTAAAACTTTGAGACAAGGCCATCCATGTTATGGCTTTTGGTAGCAGTTTTTTAATTTTTTTGGTTGGAGAGAAC